CCTTCATCTGAGGATTTTTAGCTATCTCTGCCTGCTTTGGAAGCTGTTGCATTTGTAAGCTAGGACATTCTCTAATCTGATGCCCCAATATTTTCACATTTAAAACAGGCTCTAATATTCCAATAACAATGGCTTGATCCATGCTTTTTCCCACATTTTTTACATGGTTCTATTGGGCTTTGAACTGGCAAGGGCCTTAGCTTCTTGTTTGCCCTTTCAAACTGTTGTCGATTAGATGGTGTGGGTCTAACCTGACTTTTCTGATTTTTCATCTTTTAGTAATCTTCGCAATCTTTTTCGACAATTTGGGCTCGATCCACTATTTCAGCATAAGTTCTCAATTTTAAGACTGATATTCTGCTTCTAATAGCTGGTCTGAGACCCGCACCTTTCTTGCCTCATTGCTAATCATATATGGTACAAACCTGGCCAATTCAGTAAACTTGGCTTCGTACTGTGCTACTGTCCAGTTTCCTTGGATTAATTCCAGAAATTCCATTTCTTTTTTGTCTCGAATAAAATCTCGGAAATACTTTTCATTAAATGCCTCTAGAAATACTTCCCAAGTCAAGGCTTATTTTCTTTAACCAATACTCCTTTTCCCAATCGCCACTAATATTGTGCTTCACCTTCTAACATAAAAACTGCTAAGGCCACCTTTCTATCATTAGAACATTCCATTACCTCGAATATTTTCTCCAATTGCATAATCCATCCCTCGGTTTCCAGTGGGTTTACAGAACCATTAAAAGAAGGTGAGCTCAATTTCTTAAATTGTTCGATATTACTCCCACCATTTTCCGTAACTGACTGTCGGAGTGGATTGTTGTTTTCCATCTGATGCTGCATTAGAGCAACCGTATTTTTCAAGGCTTTGTGAATTCCTTCCATATTAGCTTCAGCTATTCTGGATCTTGACTTCGTCCCGGTCTGTACACAGAATAAATGTGATTTTAAGTATATTCTTTTTAAATTTCCTAAGAATCTTAAACATATCGCTCTGATACCATAATTGTCACACCCCAAGAATTTACAGTACTGATATTCCTGGGATATGACAGTCAAAACAAAGAAGGTTTAGATATCTACCATGCATTGAATCAAAATCAAAACCCCCTTTCATTTTTCTTTTTCTTTTTTGAAATTTTAGGATTATTACATTAAACTCCACTCATAACTAATATTAACATAAAGTTCTAAACATATATACATCTCGTGACAGGACAATTTACGATGGCGAATTCTTACAAAGTAACAAAAGAAAGTTTAAGCACAATTACAATATCTTCCAAAGTTGATCTTGACGAGCACTCAAAATGAAACCGCAGTTATCCTGAAAAAAGTGTTTACCATAGTTTGATGAGTTTGGCTACTCAGTAAGTGATCATCATAATCCTAAAAATAATCATGGTTGAAAGATATCAATATTTTCAAAAAAGAGATCTATTAACAGAATGCATCAACAGTTTCATTTTAAAATATGCATAATTAAGTATAATCCGAAAATTGAAATGCATATAACATTTTAACGGCAGTGCATAATTCAAAGGATTTCACAAAATACCCAACTGGCATCCCAAGTAGGTCACCTATATACCCCATCAGCGTCCTGATGGGTCTACTTAATCCCTATCGACGTCCCAGATAGGTCCACTTAATCCCTGCAGATCCACTTATACCTCACCGGCGTACCGGATGAGTCCACTTAATCTCTACCGTCGTACCGGAATGGTCCACTTATACCTCACCGGTGAACTGAATGAGTCCACTTGCATACTTAAAGTATTTCTAAATCTTTTTAAACATTCGAAAGCATCGATATCATGTACTCAACATATCACTGAAATTATTAATATGAATTTCACTGAAACCATTAATAACAGTCACTTTCAATAATATTTCAAATATAACCAGTCAAATATTTTGGGCTCAAATTCAGAAAGGTAGCAGTTCGTAAAGACATTCTAGCATAATTTCCAATCTAGTATGTATATAAAAACTCTTATAGAAATCCAAAAATACGGAATTATCACAATTTATGGGATGTCAATTCACAAATAAACATTTCACAGACAATGCTATAATCAAATGCAAAAATATCAGTTTTAAAATAATAAGGCAGTCATTGGCACATGAATTTTACAATGTCTAAATATTCAAAAACAGTAGAAAGAAATCTCACAATTTTACTAAAAGCAGAAATATCACATTTATTTCTAATAATTTTACAGTATCTAAAATTCTCTAACAATAAACATGAAAAATAAATTTATTTCTAAGAATTTACAGCATTTAAAATTTCTAACATAGATAAAATATCACAATTTTATGAAAAAGATTATTTTTTGAGACAATGAGGTCCCTTATGTATAAAATTTACCTTGCCTAATTCGTGATAATAGATAGAAATAATTATTTCATTTTAAAAAAAAACGAATTATTATTCAAGACAATGAAGTCACTTACATCTAATATTTGAGAGGCAGCTTTCGATAAAAAAATTGGCTAAAGAGAGGAGCTCACTGCATTTGTATGAGGGAAAACGAAAAAAAAGTTGTTAGGCGACGTCTTACCTTCCGTCCTATTTAAATTCTTTAAAACACCTCCACCTCATACATGAGGTGTAGCATTAATAATAAGCTTCTAATGCTTACAACCCACGTCCACTAAAGGACGTGGCAGATGATAAGAAAAGTGAAGGGTAAAAAGATATAACAGTAGTAAATGGTCTCTAAGGACCATAATGCCTATATGGATCATCCTACTATGAAGAGTATTTTTTTATTTTATTTTTTTTACGAATTATTACAGGGTGTATGCATTGATGTGGTAGGATTCACATTTAGTTTTTTGTCAAAGTTAAATTGAAATTGCAATTCTACTAATGTATAAGTCCTACATTATATTCGTTTTGCAATCCAATTGGCCTTGAATATAAGTTCCCTTGTGCAACTAGAAATTGTTTAATATTTTCTCAAGAACTATATTACATGGCTGATATTTGTTACAGTTTTATTGCAGCAAGCTAGGCATATGATTGCCGATGACAGATGAGAGTGGTGCAAAAGATCCATTTTATTATTTTTGGAAAGAAATCCCATTAAAGGAATTTGAGAAATACATTGATGTAAACAAATTGTTTTGTTATACTGGTTTTTGTTTGATGGGGGTGTATGCATTGATGTGATAAGATTCACATTTAGTTTTTTTTCAAAGTTAATTTGAAATTGCAATGCTACTAATGTACAAGCCCTTCATTATATTAGTCCTGCAATCCAGTTAACCTTGAATATAAGTTCCCTTGTGCAACTAGAAATTGTTTAATATTTTCTCAAGAACTATATTACATGGCTGATAAATGTTACTGTTTTATTGCAGCAAGCTAGGCATATGATTGCCGATGATGACAGATGGGAGTGGTGCAATAGATCCATGTTGTTATTTTTGGAAAGAAATCGCATTAAAGGAATTTGAGAATACATTGATGTAAACAAATTGTTTTGTTATACTGGTTTTTGTTTGATGGGGGTGTATACATTGATGTGGTAAGATTCACATTTAGTTTTTTGTCAAAGTTAAACTTGAAATTGTAGTTCTACTAATGTACAAGTCCATTCTCTCTCTCTTTCTCTCTCTCTCTCTCTCATACTCACTCACACACATCCTACGAGCACAAGGGCCGTTAAAAGGTTCTAACAATTGTTGTGCCTTACAAGATTCTAAGCATTGCTGTCTATAGTGAGAGAAGATGCTGAAATGCCATGAGCACTTGATCCAATCCAGAACTCAATGAAGAAGCAATCTTTTTTTGAAAGAGAGTGTGAGTAGAGAAAATGATGATGCCATGAACTCATTGCAAAGGCTTGGCAATATATCGAAGGCATTTCTTGAAAAACAATTCCAGCAATTTTTGTCATATATTAGCAAAGACAATTCTTGAAAAAAAATTAAAATAAAAAGATTGTGATCATTCCATCAAGGAAAATACAATCAGTTACATTACATATTGCATTCAATAACTTATAACCTTCCCTGTAGTAAGCACCAAGTAATATGTGGGCATTGAACCATTGCCGCAAATTCCTTGCTTGCTAAAGTTACAAATGATTGTGGCACGCGTAAAACCCAAGGCTTGGCAATATAACAAAGGCAGCAACATATGCCATACCCATACCAAAGCCAACCAAAGCCTCAAGCACATCAGGATCAGAGTAGCAGCCTATGAGACTTTCATCAATTTTTTATATTTCCAGCAATTTGTCATATATTCGTAAAAACAATTCTTTAAAAAAAAAAAAAAATTTAGTGAACATTCCATCAAGGAAAAATACAATCAGTTACATTAATATTACATTCAATAACTTATAACCTTCCCTGTAGTAAGCACCAAGTAATATTTGGGCATTGAACCATTGGACCTCAAATTCCTTGCTAGCTAAAGTCACAAGTGAATATGGAATGCGTAAAACCCAAGGCTTGGTAATATAACAAAGGGAACAACATATGCCATACCCATACCAAAGCCTCAAGGCACATCAGGATCGGAGCAACAGCCTATGAGACTTTCATCAATTTTCTTTATTTCCAGCAATTTCTGTCATATATTCGTAAAAACAATTCTTAAAAAAAAAAAAAAAAGATTGTGAACATTCCATCAAGGAAGAATACAATCAGTTACATTACATATTACATTCAAGAACTTATAACCTTCCCTATAGTAAGCACCAAGTAATATTTGGCCATTGAACCATTGCCTCAAATTCCTTGCTAGCTAAAGTTACAAATGACTATGCCATGTGTAAAGTTTGGTAATATAACAAAGGTAGCAATATATGCCATACCCATACCAAAGCCTCAAGCAAATCAGGATCAGAGCAGCAGTCTACGAGACTTTCATCAATTTTCTTTATTTCCAGCAATTTCTGTCATATAGCAACATATGCCATACCCATACCCATACCAAAGCTTCAAGCACATCAAGATCAGAGCAGCAGCCTATGAGACTTTCATCAATTTTCTTTATTTCCAGTAATTTCAGTCATATATTCGTAAACACAATTCTTGAAAAAAAAAAGAAGAAAAAGATTGTGATCATTCCATCAAGGAAAAATACAATCAATTACATTACATATTACATTCAATAACTTATAACCTTCCCTGTAGTAAGCACCAGTAATATTTGGGCATTGAACCATTGCCTCAAATTCCATGCTACCTAAAGTTACAAATGACTGTGGCATGCGTAAAACCCAAGGCTTGTCAATATAACAAAGGTAGCAACATATGCCATAACCATACCAAACCCTCAAGCACATCAGGATCAAAGCAGCAGCCTATGAGACTTTCATCAAATTTCTTTATTTCCGGCAATTTCTATCATATATTCACAAAAACAATTCTTGAAAAGGCAACAACATATGCCATACCCATACCAAAGCCAACCAAAGCCTCAAGCTCATATTCATTGTTGATCCAATCCCCAAGCCTCAAGTCCATATTCATTGTTGATCCAACCCTCATGCCTCAAGCTAATCCAACAAGAAACATGGAAACTTTGATAACTTTCATTCCATTCCTGTAAGCCATAAAACAACAAGAAACATGGAAACTTTCACTTTCAACCATAAGACATTTTATTCCATTCCTGTAAGAAAAATTAATCACAAATTGATACAACCAATGCATGAAAAATAATCACAATAAGAAACTTTAATTCCAAATTTTTGAGCACTATTAGATAAAAAAAATACACAATGTAACTAAAGCAAAAATTCAAATTCTACGCGGCATTTAAGAAACATAACCTCTTAATAGGACCCAAAAAAACAAAAAACAAAGTAGGATGATAGTATCTATAATATTAATAATTCTTGCAATTGTATCTATTAAGAAAAACAAAAAACAAAAAACTGATGAGCATTTTGCCCTATTGTTACAGTAAGATTTTTTATTTTTTTTCTCATAAAAAAATCAATAATCTAGGGTTTTGGATAATAATGAATTTGAATCATTTTCTTTTTAAAATTGGGGGAATACCAGAGTGGAAAGAAAAAAAAACATCTTTCGACACCTACAAATACGAAAGTTTGTCAGCTATTGATTGATTGCTTAAGATAGCACAAATTTCTTCAGAGCATTGTTGTCCTCTGAGGCATAAATTTTGGACATCATTTTTTTCTCGATGCATGGATTTTGTTTCCTGCATCTATGAAAGAAACAAAAAAAGAAAAAAAACAGATAGGGTTTTTTCCCTACTGCAACAATAAGATGTTTCTTTTCTAAAGAAATTTTTTTTTTTTCTAGCTACGCCATTTGGGACGAGGGAGAGAAAGAGGGAGGAAAAATGGGAGAGAGTGAGAAAGGTGGAGTAAAAATTTTGTCACCAATTTGGTCTTGGGTTGATTTTTGAAATAGAAATGGAGTATCTCTATGGATTGATTGCTTAGAGAGAGAGAGAGAGCCATTTGATCATTCTATACGAAGTAGAGAGTTCTTACTGATTTTGGTTAGAGATTATGGCTGATTCTGATCTATCCCTCGTCCTTGCACTTTTTGCATTGGGTTCCACGTTGAGCGCTTGGTGGAAAGGGGGGCGCAGTAAAAATAGGGGAGACGGAGAAAGAGCTTTGGGGACCAGAGAGAGAGATGGAAAGAAGACATGGAGCTTGGTGGGACAGGGGAAGAGAGAGAGAGAGAGACGTGAGAGTCCTTATTTTAAAAGAGACATGAGAGCCCATGTTTCTTAAGTCCTAATCCCATTCGTTTATTTAATGGGGACAATGGATGGTTGACACTCCATCGAAATATTATT